GAGAGTTCGGGGATGACAATCTGAGATTCTTATTACGAAAATGTTCTCATTGGCTTTGGACTGGAAGGCACTTATTGGTGTGAGTTGGTCTGGTGGCATCATATAGAAAAGATCTGTTGCGTTCTCGTGAAAGTGATAAACTTGTGAGTCAGCTAGATTGCAGCAAATGACGATCACCAGCGCGTGCGCTACAGAGTGGTTGTAGTACCGGTGGTTTGTGCGTGAGGCAGTTTGTGCTGAAACAGACTCTCACAGCATCTACCACACTAAAGCCGCCATCTACACATGGTACACAGGGCCTGCTTCTAGAACACTGTACAAGGCACGCACATGAGGACGACTCGACTCTCATATTAGCGTCTATGGCAGCTTCCGCATCTTCCGGTCACTCCAAAAGAGTCATCATGCGTACCGAATTATTTCGTCAGTTGCCATTCTTCCAAGCCCCGAAAGTAAAACATTTTAGTAGATTAAAGCTAGCATCAGGTGTTTTCTGGTGAGGAATGCGTTGGTGTGTGCCTTGAAATGGGTACCCACCGTTTAGCCCTATTTTCTCGTCCTTCCTTCTTCCATGTTCCAGCGTGCCCCTAGGACCTGCCAATCAACTGTTCTGGAAAACTATGCCATCAAAACCGTTCGTTCGCTCAGTTCTTGAGCCACCTTCCACTGTTCGCGCGAATAATTCCCTTATATGAAGAGCCCAATACAATGATCTGTTCACACAGAAAATCCCTCTGGATCTCCTATACAGTCAGTGTAAACAGTAAACAAGTCAAGTTTGGCAAACGCACATCGAGGGTTATGCATCCTTCCGTCAGTGAAGGTTGAAGGCTGTCAAGAGACGGGAGCTGAGTGTGTCAAGCCCTGAAGGAGAGCAACGTTGAGCTTGTTCTGAAATCAGGATATGGGATATGCCTGCGTTTTATCTGATGCCTTGTAACGACAGAAGGGTAAGGGATGTGGTTATTAGACGCAGTCTTATACCCACAGAAGGCAGGTGTTCAAGCTATTCAACCCTTGTCGGGGCTGAAATTTCTTAGGATTATGCTTCGTGTCAGTACTGTCCTTCTGCCTATATTCTAGCCACCTCACGGTGGAGGATCGAGTGAGATCTCTGATAGCAAAATGGACGGACGAATGTGTCCTCTAACAGATCGGTGTACACGTGTCTGCTACTATATATCCCCGATCTAATACCGGCAAGACTGCGAGCTCGTAGCTCAATGGTTAGGACGTTTACCTCTGACCGGAGAGACGCGAGTTCAAAACTCGAGTGTAGCAGCAATTTCGGCACCAAAACTGGAGTTGGGTATCACTATTTGATGACGGCTAATAAGCCAGAAATAGCCATTCTAGTGTCCTGTGTATTTGTCGGTAATGTCCTTCTGCCTATATCCTAGCCACCTCGCAGTGGAGGCTCGAGTTAGAGCTCTAAAGGCAAAATGGACGGAAAGTATTGTCCTCTAACAGATCGGTGTACGCGTCTCTGTTACTATATTCCTCTAAGAAAGTAAGTAGACTCCACACAGTGCTCATTATTTTATTCAAATTATCTTATATACTTTACATGTGCAGTAAACAGGTACTGGACCTAAAAATTTATGAATGGACACTGTATGGTCTTAAAGAATCGCATCATTATAATCTTTTTTAAACCGAAGGCTACCATATATCCAAAAAATAAGTCGGAAAAGACGTAATTTTCTGTCGAATAAGTAGAAGGCATGCTTTTCTACATGTTTTCTTTAAAAAAATATTCAAGAAGAGCAGTTTGCGAGCATACGTGTGTTGTGATCGGAATAAATAGGGTCGCGAGATTCAGTAAGTACGAGCCAAACAGAC